AAGGTGGAAGATGAGAGAGAGAGAGAGAGAGAGAGAGAGAGAGGGAGAATAGATATAGGGTAGGGGATACGAGAAATTTAAGGCGATAGGAGAAATTTGAGTGGAGAGAGAAAATAATACAAAGCTTATTTTGTGGCTTAAGGGTAGAAGGTGACCATAAATAGATATTTGGTTATAAAAAATCAAAAGGTAGCTATGAAATATAATTTTTAAGAGGGTATTTATTTAAAATAAATAAGGTATCAACATTTGCTATAGGAGGAAATTAATCCTATAACAAACACTTAGTCAAAGATCCATTATGTAAAGCAATTATAAGATTGCACAATGAATTAATGATCATGAGATTGAAGATCAAACATATGGGCCTACTATATAAAACAGAGGCGGACCTATAGCAGTCCTTAAGGGGTCACGTGAACCCGTTAACTTCGGTAAAAACTCTGTATATACATAACTGTATATACGTTGGTGACCCGTTAACATTTTTCTTGGCCCCCTCATTAATAAAATTACGCCTGGAGCAATGGTCCGCTTCTAAGCGTAAGACTTGCTCCTTGTCACTCGACGCGGGTTCGAAACCGGCTTGCCACAATATTTTTTTAAGTTTGTTTTACTTAGTACAATAGTACTATTTATTAGTCACTAGTCAAGTTGACTAATTAATCATTTTTTATTTCACCTATTCTCAATTCAATTATATTTTGAACTTTTAATAATTAAATAATAGTAGTCAAAAGCCCCAATTTCCAAAAGCCCCAATCGGCATTCCCCTTCTCGGCTTCCCCAATTCTTCTTCTTCTTCACTTCTTTCGCTCTTCCTCAATCAAAAATCAAAGCTCGCCTCCACCAGTCCGCCTTAATCACTTCTCACTTCAAAATAGAGAACCCTTCTTTCTCAATCTCTAGTTAGTGCTTCTCTTACTTTGAAACTTATTTTTTATTTGTAACTTAAAGCTTCTCTTACTTTGAAACTCTCTGTTGATTTTTTTTTTAATTGAAGAATATTTTAGAGGGACTTGAGTTTAATTTTATCGGGTGACTGACTGCTGGCCTTGTCAGTAGAACAAGAACAGACATTTCTTATTCTTATCTTTGATCCAGTTATTTGATGATAAGGAGAAGAATCTACTCCTTGAGTGGAAATATTTTTTAGAATTCTTTTTTTCTTTTTTACTGAAGCTATATTTATCCAACATATTCTTTTTAATTTTTATCCCATAAAATGGCTGCACAAAAATGTTGTAGTATTAGATTCAATAAGTTGAAGTATTTGTTTTATACTTGATAAAAGGGGTGTGATTGCTCTATTGATATTGTGTTTGTTTGTATTCTTGATAGACTCTTAAATTTATTAGACTCATTTTTTGTAGGAAGTTCTTGTTCATATGAATTGAGATGGACGTATTTTTGATAAAGTTTAATTCTTCTCAATCGAGTTCTACTCTTAGAAACAATTCCTCCCATCTTATAGATGAGTTTGATGAGAAATTACTCAATCCCGATCTTGGAGAGAGAGTACCCATTGATAAATATAGTCCTAGAATACGGGATGAAGTAAGAAGACACTACATTCAAAATGGACCTTGCCAACCGGTTGATCATAAGTTTCCTAAAACTTTATTCGGTAATAAAATGCATCAATTTAGTCCGGGTTAGTTTAAAGGTTCTTATTCTAGATGGTTGGAGTATAGTGTGAAGAAAGATGTCGTATTTTGTTTATGTTGTTATTTATTCAAAAATGATTATGTTCATGGAAGCACGGGTGACTCTTTCACAAAAACGGGCTTTAAGGCTTAGAATAAAGCTTCGGAAAGACTTCCTTTACATGTTGGTCAAGTAAATAACCTCCACCACAAGTGTTTCAACAAAATGTTAGACTTATCAAATCAATCTCAATCAATTTTCAAGTTGTTTTTGATAAGCAATCTGAGAAACAAAGAAATGAGCACCGAATTCGTTTAAATGCATCATTCGATGTTGCAAGGTTCCTCTTGTACTTTGGATTGTCTTTTCGAGGTCATGATGAAAGTGATTCTTCAAAAAACAAAGGCCTTTTCATAGGACTTTTGGAATGGCTTGCAAAGAGGCTCCCTCAAGTAGATAGAGTCATATTGAAACATGCACCAAAAAATGATATGATAACTTCGCCAAAAATTCAAAAGGACATTGTGAGTGCTTGTGCACAAGAAACCGTGAAAGCTATACTCAATGATTTAGATGGGGATTATTTTGGGATATTAGTTGATGAGTCCAAGGATATTTCACACCATGAACAAATGGCCCTTGATTTGCGGTATGTTGACAAAAAAGGCCAAGTGAACGAGCCATTTATCGGTCTTGTTCGTGTTGGTGATACATCTGCAAAGTCGTTGAAGGAAGCAATACTTTCTTTGCTTATGAAATACTCATTAAGTCCATCCAAAATACGTGAACAAGGCTATGATGGAGCTACTAATATGCAAGGAAAAATGAATGGTCTTAAAGCTTTAATTTTGCAAGAAACTCCTTCGGCACATTGCATTCATTGTTTTGCTCATCAATTACAGTTGACACTTGTAGCGGTTGCTAAAAACATAAGGAGGTGGAAACTTTCTTTGCTATAGTTGCTAATGTGTTGAATGTGATTGGAGCATCCTTTAAACGCAGAGATAAACTTCGGGACCATCAAGCATAATTATTGGAGTGTTTGGTAGAGAGTGGTAAAGTTCAAAGTGGGAAAGGATTAAATCAAGAACGAGGGCTTCAAAGGCCAGGTGACACTCGTTGGGGATCACATTGTAAAACATTAGATAACTTTCTTATTTTATTTGCGTCTATTGTTCATGTGCTTGAGGTAATTGAATATGAAGGTTCTGAGGCTAATGATAGATTGCAAGCAGAAGCTTTTTTTGAGTAAAATCAATTCATTTGAATTTGTGTTCATGCTTCACTTGATGTTGAAGGTATTGTTGATGTCGAACGAGCTGAGTAAAACTTTACAGAAGAAAGAGCAAGACATTGTCAATGCCATGATATTTCTTGACCTTACAAAGGAAAGGTTGCAATAAATGAGAGAGGAACGATGGAAATCATTAATGGATGAAGTCTCTTTGTTTTATGCTAAACATGACATTTTGGTGCCCAATATGGAAGAACTCTATATTCCTGGAAAGTCGAAGCGTAGGCCTTCTAGTGTTACTTATTCACATCACTTACGTGTTGAGCTTTTTTATACAGTTATTTATTTGCAACTTCAGGAGCTTAACAGTCATTTTGATGTTGTCAGTGGTAACTTGCTTCTTTGTATGGCTAGCTTGAATCCGGCTAATTCGTTTGCTAATTTTGATAAGGAAAGAATAATGACATTGGCCAGGTATTATCCAGATGAGTTTGGTGAATTGAAGCTTCGAGATCTTAGTCACCAACTTGACACTTTCATATGGCACATGAAACATGGTGACCCTAGATTCTCGGATTCGAAAGGAATTGGTGATTTGGCAAAAGCGTTGGTTGAAGCAAATCTTGTGGAGACATATTTACTAGTGAAGTTGACTCTAATTTTACCTGTCGCGACTGCAACGGTAGAAAGAGCATTCTCATCCATGAAGTACATCAAGGATGAATTGCGTAGTAGTATTGGTGATGCATTTTTAAATGATTGTTTAGTTTGTTACTTTGAAAAAGAAGTATTTGCAAATGTAAGCAATGATGTTATTATTGACCATTTTCAGAGTATGAGAACGCGTCGAGTTCAAGTATAAGTGGATGATGTACTTTTGTTATATTAGTATCAATTAAAGATATTCTATAATATTGAAGTTTGTATTTTGATTTAAGTTGTGCCTTCTTTAGTTCTCTTTTTGAGACAACAATAGATTAGTTTTGTATGTCACGAATTGAGGCCACTAAGCTTGTTTTACATTTTAAAATTTGTGTTAGTAGGTCAATTTGGGAGTATGATGAAGTTGAAGTTTGTGTTCACAGGTCAATTGGATAATTCACTCTAACGATTATGGTGCCTCCGTCATTCTCAAATCCTGGGTCCGCCTCTGATTTAAAAGGGCAGCCTGGTTAACATAGGATTCGAAAAAGAGCCGCACCTCAAGAGGCGTGATGTAGACTACCTACCTTAATGCAAGTATTAATGGATGCTTCATCGGCTCGAACCTATATAAGTTACAAGGAAACAACAATTTAACAACAGAAAATAAGAAATTGATGTGAAATCACGATGAGATCACGATCTCTACACTCCTTTCAATATCCTTTTTATTTATATTAAGGTCAAACTTATTGTCGTAAAGTTGAATACTATGATCCTCTAACCATTGGTTTGAATCTTCCTGTAGTGTCACGAAGGGGTCAAAAAGTGAACTCGATTTTCATACACAATAGGATTGGAAGAATGCTTACGTAAATCACAAATAAGAAAGATGATGGAACAGAAGCGGCTTAACAAAATCGGTGTCCTAAAGCCAAACTTTGATGAGTGGTCTTAAGTTGTTTTTCTAAAAAGAAAAAAAACGTTAATCCATTTACCTCTTTATAGTTAACATTATTATATAAATAATATAGGCATTTAGAAAAAAAACAATCTTTTTATATGATTGAGTATATTGATTAGAGTATTATCTTTTACTTGTTTTAACTTTCTTTAATACTTTTAACTCAAAAAATAAGTCTAAACCATCAATATCTTTCGTTGTTAAGGCAATGTGTTTTCAAAATCTCGTCACCTAGTTATATCAAATTCTTAAACCTCTAAATAGGAAACTAAAAATATTTTCATACGCTTCTAATTGTTCAAAATTTTGAAGGTTTGTTTTCTTTGTTTATTACAAAATTGTACTTTTTTTTTACTTCAAAATTTTCAAATTTTTAAAAAATTAATTCATATACCTAAAATCGGTGAAAAATGGGGCCTTTACAATTTTGGGGCATAAAGCACTTGCTTTACTTGCCTTATGCTTCAGCCGGCACTGCGATGGAATAGTTGATATAATCACAAATTAACTTATCTCATACATATAATATAATATCTATGTTTTACTGTAATGTGTATATAAGAAAGTAGATGTAAAATGCTCAAAGCATGAACTCAATAGTCAATATTATATTGATGACAAATCTATCTCATGAAATTAAAATTCATGTAATACTGTTGGTTTGCCACGATTGTGTCAGATGAAAGGCTGTCATATTTGTCATGACTCACAAATAATTTTTTATTCAAAAAGAAAAAGTAATGTTTGGTTGAAAGGTTATATTATACTATTACATCATCTATATTTGTTGTCGCAGGTAATTTGTACTATTTTCAAGAGTGCAAATTCTACTTTTCTGTAAATGACAACTTGTAAATATCTTTAGGTGATCGGATGATGTAAAAAACTCTTTAAACGATCAGTATATATAAATTAAATTCAATATTGTAATTATATATTGATAAAGAGTAAGAATAGACCTTTTTAGGCGTTGCTTTACTAAAGTAATCGGCAAAACATTTGGTTCCTGTAAAATGCGGAATATATATATATATATATATATATATATATATATATATATATATATATATATATATATATATTTTCCTCCTATTAATAAGAGGTAGTTTGAGGAGCTTGGGGTCGTTCGGGGTATTTTGGGAAAATCACAAACATTTTTTGTCCGATTAACAAGAGGGAGATTGAGTTCGGGGGTATTTTGGAAAAAGTACAAATATTTTGGCATAAGTCACGTGTTAACCCTACTTTAATTTTGACACGTTGCTTTACACCGCTCAAACGAACATATCTACACTGTTTCCTCCCGATTTTCCCAGTCTCTACGCTCTGTTTCTTCCTCAAAATTTCAACTGCTGCTCACCTCCTCTTACAATTTCCATTGTTTCTTTTAGCCTTCTTTCTTCCTGGACAACTTATTCGCCTTGATTGCACAGTTATAAGGTGAGTTTTAGTTTCTTATTTTCTTGATTTTCGGAATAGTTGCTGCATATAAATTGTAAATCTGTAACTGTTTGCAGAATTATGTATTTCTGAACCCGGTAGCGGGTATTAGTTGCTCAGAAGCAGAGTCATCGGAGTTTAGCAAGGTAGATGTCCGACGTTCGCACCACTGCTGTATTTAGTAATTTTTTGACTCTAGTTGTATTCGGACCTTAGTGCTCATGACTAGTGAGACTCCGGTATCGGGCTGTGTTAGGTTTGTTTTTTCGCAAATTATACTGTTAACTGCTTATTTTTGAGATTTTATCATGATTACGACTTAATACTTATTATTTTATTGCTTAAGATTGGAATGGGAATGTGTCGGCTGGCCTTGTCTTCACGAGAGGTGCTATCACGACCGGGGTCCGGGTTTAGGGTCGTGACAATGGACCACCGCTTAAAAGCCATGCCAATAATATTCATACAAAATACCGTCATATTTTACTTAATTACAACCTCCAACCAGACACCTCCTTTTTACACTACCCGAGGGGCGATATAAGGGAGTTTTTTCAATTAAAGTGACATTATTCGAAATGGGATTATTTTATTTAATTTCAGAGTCGCCACTTGGAATAATTTTATGGTGTTCCAAGTCACCGATTTATTTTAAAATTCCAAGTCGAGGAAATTTGACTTTATTTAAAAGTCTGCGAACCAGAAATTCTAGATAAGGAATTCTATTAACCCGGGAGAAGGTGTTAGGCATTCTCGGGTTCTGTGGTTCTAGCACGGTCGCTTAAACTATTGATAATTGGCCTATTATCTGATTTACTACATGTTTTAAACCTATTGTGCATCTTTAAACTTTATAATCGTTTTTAATTACTTTATGGAATTATTCTGGAACAAGTTACGATTGTCGTACACTTGTTTGTTTGATACATATTGCGAATCATGTCACGGGAACCGTACCCACGATCCACAACATGTTTAATTTATTGAAGTTATTAGAAGTTGTGGCCGGGTCACATAAATGTACCCCCAAATTTGGAAATTAGGTATCACAACTACGTCACGGGAACCATACCTGTAGCTATGATGATTTTATTATAAACACGCCTAAAGCAAACTACGAGTGTTTAAAAAGGTGTTCTTCTATACTAAGTTAATATTAATGTGAGGGCCATAGGTTATGGATTTTGTTTGTGTATGGCACACCTCAATTTATTTTAAAAAGGATTGTGTTTCACTAAAGCAAACTAAGGATGCCCCTATTTGAACCTAATTTGAAATTCACCAAGAAGCTTTTAATCATGGACATGCTTAAGGTGAAAAGCTAAGCTTTTTAATCAATTTTTGAAAAGGGTTTTGGGCCAGTAATAGGCCATTACTTATTTATTTAAGGGGAATCAGCATTGAAGTTGCATTTGGGCTAAGGACTCGACCCAAAATGAAAGAGCCTTGAAGGCCTTAACTGGTCCGAAACAGCCCACATTAGGCTTAAATAGGCGGGCCCAGTCACTACTTGTTTTCTAGTTGGGCCTATCCACCTCTACATCTGAATTAACCATACTCGCACATTTACAATAATTATATTTCAATTGCTGTTAAGTAAAAATCAGAACTTAAAGATCAAAGCACAATTCTAGTTTGAAAATTAATCACATGATTTGCAAGATAAATGAAGCATACATTTGTACCATAATTTATAAGAAAAGAGAACTTTTTACAACTGAACCAAATTTTGGGCTTAGGGCCCAGGCCCAATGGCCGAGGCCCAGATTCATTTGGGGTTAGTTTTTTTATCTGGGCTTACTCACAAATTCAGCCCACTTGAATCAGAGGATGGCCCTTTTACCCTTACGGATTGGGCTCACACAGCCTGGCCCATTGCACCACTATTGTTTATGAAAGTATTATTACACTCTTAACAACAATTAATTTAAATTTAGTACATAAAATCAGAACCTCACTCGTTACATCACTTCATATAAAAATGCAGCTTTCCAAAATCAAGAAACATTACATTGTAACCTATTAAATACATAAACTACTACTCTAGCCACTAATCGATTGCAACTCCCATATAATTGATGGACTAGTGAACACCCGCCTCTTTTGGACATGATTTATCCATCAAAAGCTTGGTCTCTCACATGAAGAACACTAGATCCAGCATACCAAATAGTAAAAGTTTAGGATCTTAGCCTTTGGACCTGCTGATTTGGCCAACTAGTGACCAAATCTGCAGGTACTGGCTCATGGTTAGCAAACAAGTCTCTAATGACCTCAAATTAACTATCATTTCATATATATAATATATATATATATATATATATATATATATATATATATATATATATATATGATTTGACATGAAAGGAACGGTCAGTGTGACTCAACTATCCCAATTTAAAATAAACGACGACTTGAAGTTATCAGCCTCAAGTAATTAGCTTAGACTAAATGATCATCTATTTCATAATTTAAAACTAAAAGATAACTTTCCAATTTCTTGACTGACAGGTTATGTGCCTAGTTATGTTTTGATGATCTAACAAACTTAATGATAATAACCTGTAGACATCGAAATTTTAAGTGATCAAGCCAAATTCTAAATTAAAGATACAACAGGACTCTTGAAATCCTAGGAGTCTATTAGGGTTTCTTGGAGGTTACTCTACCCTAAATCCTAATTCACACCTATATAAAGCGATATATATTCCCTTGAAGAGGTGTCTCAAAATCTCATAAACTCTTGGGATATTCACAAAGAGCTCAAAATATGGCCGGATACTTCTTGACAATCAAATAGTTTAAGAAGCTGGAGA